CCCCCTCTCCTCATACCCTCCTACTCGTTGCCGATGTCTGCCACTCGATCCGACTCTACCCACCAAGGTTTACCGCTTCAGAGCGTCCCTCTACCATTATCTCTCTACATCTACACAGTCCTGTCCACCAGCACTCTACCGCACTGCAGGCCTCTACCCTACCCCCCTCTTACCGCCCCTTCCACCCGTTCCAACCCCCTACCTCTCTACTACCGCCACCACCTCTCCCCCTTCCCCCCTCTTCCTCCCCGTATCCCCTCTATCCCCATTATCGAGATTAATTAGAGCCATACAGGCCGCAGAGCCAGCTGTTCAATCCCATCTAAATTCAAAGAGATGCACATGACATCACATGAGATCATGTAACAGACCATAACTATCAGAAGAACGTAGGGTTATTACACGACCGGATTATGGTTGTTTCACCATTTCAATCAGCGACACGGTCACTGAGCCATAAATCATAGTATAATAGTGAATGAATAGTGAAATCACTGTAAATAAGTTATAAACTGAAAAAATCAATTATCATATTAATGATATCACTGAATTCAATTTATATAATTATTAATTCTAAAAACTGTCTTATTCACTGATATTATTCTCTATTGAAAATCATGATTACTTCTATTTAAATTCTCTCAAATTAACTGAACTAAGTTTTTTTAATAGTTTTTATTTCTAGTCATGTCACTTCTCATTAATTATATGTGAAACATGTAAAACTTGCTTAATTAAAAGATTACTAGCTTGTAAGAAGTGACATCATATAATGAAAGAATTAGTAAGCCAGATCACATGATCTGATACTCTCAGTTATCAGAGTAACTATACAAAATACTATATATAAAATTCGTCTTTAAATTAAGTACAGGTATAAAAATTGACTGGAAAATATATAATAATGAAAAATCACTTATAATATTCATTAATTTTTTTATCTCTTTATTTCTTCATCTTAATATTCTTCTTTCAATGTGTATATTTCTGTAAGAATAAGTGCTTGCAGGCGATTATTCAGGTGTTTACAGCTTCACATAATATGTACTGTTAACTACTAGAAGTATTCACAGTAGAAAGATAAAATGTAGAAATTAAATATATAATAGTATTTAAGCTGAGTTATAAATAGCATTCACAGACTTCAGTCTATATAGTTATGTATAGTCAAGAGTCACTAACTCTATTAATTATATAAGAGATAGAAACAGAGATAAAGAATTTATAAGAAGTAGAATTTCTTACATATTTCTCTCTTTCTAAGACTTTATCTATAAAGTCTTTCACTAAGTAATTTCATAGAATCAGAGTCAGTACTGCAGTGATACTCACTAAAAATTCTTTATATCTATAAAAAATCTCAGTGAGGAAAAATCTCTTATTATTATAAAGAGAAAATTATCTATCACTCAGTTTCTTATTCTATAAGATTCTTTATAGTCTGCAGATCTTTCTCTGACTATTATACAAATTCATCTTACATCTTTTATAGAGAAGAGTGTCAGTTAACTCTTAATTGTTTTTATAAGATTCTTATATAATTATCACACAGATTCATTCTACATCTTTTAATTTAAAGAATTTCAGTTAATCTTCAATCATTTTACTGCAAGATTCTTATGTAACTATTACACAGATTTATTTCATAGATAAATCACTTTCTGTGAAATCATTCTCATCAAAGAGAAGCATTTATAAGTTAATCTTTTACTTATTCTTATAAATCATCATTCTTTGACACTGTAGAGTTGTAAGAAATTTTCTATTCTTTTATTAACTCTGTAAAATTATAGAATAAAGATGTTTATAGTCTGTAATCATTCTTTATAATTACATAGAAAGATTCAGATCAGTAATTTATAATTATTCTTTATTTACTAAAGTAATCTGACTATTTCATAGAATCACTCATAGTATAAATAAAGCTCTCTAAAGTAGTATAAATATTTTAGATTGTAGCGGGCTGCGCCTGATCAATTATATAGACTATTTCATTACACTTTATAGATTTCTATTCTTTCACTCTAGAACTCCGATTCTCAGTTGCTAATCCTCAGCTGAAAAACTCACAGAATTTCTATTCTTCCACCTCAAAGCTTCATTATATACACATATAAATATTCACTGTGATCATTAATTCTCACACTTTCTCTTTCTTTTCTTCTCTAACATTTTCCACTTTTGTATTATAAGATCTATATATTATATCAATTTATTCAGCATAGATCTCTTACACTTGAAAAACATTCATCATCTCCTCATTAGAAACAATTATCTATTGAGATATTCAAACATGTAATAATACATAAGAAATAGAGAAATAATTAAACAGTTAAGTGAACACTGAGTTTCTAAATAGAAGCTTGCTTATCAGTCACTCTGACTCTGTAACAAGATCTCACAAAGAGAATGTCAGTAAAAAATCTGAGAGTTCTGATATCTTAGATATATAAGATATTTATACAATTACACTTCTTCTGATTTCGCAGATATCACACATTCAATAAATAATATAGCTATGTCTACTAATGATATGAGAGAACTCTTAAACACAAGTATAGATGCAGTGCTACAGTGACTCTGAGCAATGTTGAAATTATAAAAACAGCAGATAGCTGATATACATGCAACTCAATAATACTAATACAAAGAAATTCAATAATTATCTGAATAAGAAACTTCTACGCAGACAATCTTAACACTGACAGAATTAAATATGAATATAATATAAATGCTGAAGAAATGCTTAGATGCTTCTGTATATTTCAATACTTTCAATCTCACTCTCTACTCATTATGAAGATTAGAAATGCTTGTGAAACTAAGTGTAGATGAAGATATCATCAGTTTATTAACTAATTAAGATTGATATATTAATGATTAATTGAAGAACTGTATAAGACAGAAGTTTTATTCATGAATGAAGACATGTGAATCAGTGTTACATATATCTGATAATATTATCAAACATCTCAATGTTCTGTTCTGAGACACTGCTATGCAACAGAAGATATTAGATTGATTACAGAGTATTTAACAGAGAAATACTTCTGTTATAACATTTATCTCTGATTTCAATATCAAGATTCTAGAAGCAGATAATCAATCTTGAGAAAATTAATTGAAGATTAGCATGCTTAAGAAGACACTAACTTTCAAACTTTTACAGACTCTTATAAGCATAGATAAAGATCAGACTTATAAAGACTTCTACATACAACTCTGAACATTGAATAATCATCTCACTAAGCTTAAGAGTATACAGAACAGTAGCAGAAGACATTATATCTCAGTCACTCATACATCTGTATCAAAGAATAATAATAATGCAGATATCATGAATTGAGTAGACTTAAATATCTATACATAAACAAGAGTTTTCACTATCTGAATAAGTTTCTGAGTCTCTGAGATCACTTCTGAAGAAGTCACTGATTAATATTAATATGAAATATGTATTAACTGTAACTGATCAGAACATATCACTGTCAACTTCTGATCAGTCTATGTATCTTCTCACTCAAAAGAAAGATTAATATCAGCAATTCATATCAATCACATTACATTGAAGAAAGATTCAGAAGATAACTATGAGAATATCTCAATGAAACAGAGAAAAGATTAGCTTCTGTTTAAATTTATAAACAGAAGCTTGAAGAGATTGAATAATAATAATTTAAAGAGAAAATGACAATGAACATGATTCTTGTATCTACTGTGATAGATAATATGTATAATATGAAAGTTATGATAAACAGCAGTCTAGATTATTATACAATGATTAAATCTTCAGTTATAAGATATTATAATCTTCAGTGTTTTCTCTTATTAAAACCTCAACTTCTTGAAGAATTTGATGATTTAAAAGACATTCACACTTGTCACATGATGAAACTAAACATAGATATCAGAGAACATTAATATGAAGATGCTTATATATAGAAAGTTAATAATCTTAACTATAATCTTATACTAGAACTTGTCTAACTATCTGAATAACACATTTTATTGAACACTTGAAACAGGAGCTTAATATTCTCTAACAATAATAGAATTTACAAAGATGATATTTATAAGACTATGAACCTTACACAGATCTCTGTCAAGACTTATGAAATACTCTGAAAAAGAAGTCATTGATAAGATCACTAACAAAGTCACTTATAGCAGAATTATGTGATAATCTATTTTATCAGTCTGGTCAATATTAAGAAAGCTCTAGAGAAGTTATTCTATACTATAATAACAGATTCTCATACAAAACTCTCTTAATAATATCATGAATATCTACATATCTTTTAACAAGATAATAATATTAAAAATCTACCTCTCTTACAAGGTTCAGAAGTGAACCACAGTATTAAGTTGAAAAAGAAGAATGATAAGAACTCTGAATCATCATGAGACTCTCTTTATAATATATTCTGAGATGAACTACTTCTTCTTTGAAAGATACTCAATAATCTGTTGAATAAAGAATTTATATATATTAGTAACTTCTCTGCTGCAGCTTCTATTCTCTTTGCAAATAAATCAGATAAAAAACTTCAATGCTGTGTGAACTATTGAGAACTGAACAGATTAACAAAGAAAGACTGTTATTCTTTATCTCTTATCAATGAAATTCTCACTTGCATTGAATAAGCTCAATGATTTATAAAACTAGATGTTATGACTATGTTTTATAAGATTTATATTGCTGAAAAAGATGAGTGGCTTACAGCATTCTGAACATAAGATAGCCTCTTTAAATGAATAGTCACATCTTTCAGACTGACTAATATCTTCAGTATATTTCAGAAGTATATTAACTGAGCACTCTAAAACTTTCTTGATAAATTTGTATCTGTGTATCTCAATGATATTCTCATCTTCACTGATGAGTTCAGAAAATAATATCAAGAATATGTGTAAAGAGTATTACAACAACTACAAGAAGCAGAACTACTGATAGATATAGATAAGTGTAATTTCGAAGTTAAAATTACAAAATATCTAGACTTTATTATAGAAGCTGGTAAGAGAATTCAAATAAATGCTGAGAAGATCTCTGCTATTCTTGAATAGAAAGCACTGTGTACTGTGAAAGATATACAAAACTTTATCAGATTTGCTAACTTCTATCAGTGATTTATACAAAACTGTGTGGTTTGGAAGAATGTGTAGGCTACTGAGGCAAAAGAGCTCGATCACCACCAGCGCACTGCTGATAGAAGGGCCGATCAACCACAGGACTCTCAACACCCCCTCTCAAACCAGCTATCACAGAGTACAGTACTTTCTCTGAGTGGCTCTCTTCAGTAACTTCTCACAGTGACTTCTCTTAGTGAACTCACTCAGTTCTAGGGCTCAAGAGACTTCTAGGACACACTTCTGAGATGTCTCTTAGCACTGTTAAATGTTCAGAGTATTTGTTGACAATTTTTAAGTTCATTCTGGAATTGAATTCATGCATGTTGATCACAGCAGGGCTCATGCTTAACAGTGTCATAACCTGTAGGCTACTGGGGCAAAAGAGCTCGATCACCACTAGCGCACTGCTGGTAGAAGGGCCGATCAACCGCGGGACCCTCAACAGAATGTACAACCGCCGAATAATAACGCGGCCGCTTCCGAACATGCTTACAAAATGTAGAGGGGTCATAGCGGCCACTAATTAATTTAGTATAATATATATAAGAAGCCAGTATACACCTGTAATCATACACTGACTCAAGCAATCTTTGAATCACATCTGATAGCATGTCTAAAAACTGGTGAGAAGTGCAGGCTTCTTCAGAGTTTGATAATTCTATCTACAAAACAATTTATAGTTATCATATCAGTGTGATTCTAAAAATGTCTCAAAAGATAGTATATGAAGAGTGATGAGTGAAAGAGCATCTGATTGATACTGCTTCACTTATTAGGAAAAACTTCACACTCAAGTGAATGCTATGTATGTGAACAGATGAGATGTGAGAAAGAAGATAAGAGCAGTGAACTAGATTTAAAGAAGTTCACTTTCTACTCAGAAGAATAAAAGAAGAGTGATTATTATCAGAATTGTACAATAGTAATAAAAATCAGAAATCATATAATAATATAATAATAGACACTGTACAATTAATAAGAAATCACTAAAATAAACATCTTCTCTAGTTAATATAAACACTCTTCTCTGCTATCTGAACTGAATGATATGCAGAATCTCTCAGAGAGTTTACTCAAAGTAGTAAGAAAAGCAGCTAAGACTGCTGAACTGAAATTGAAGCTCTGTATATATACAAGAATTCTAAATAATATTAAAATCTTGTATACACAGTGACAGACTGAGATAAAAATCAAGTAATAATTAATATTCACTGTAAATCAAGTATTCACTATGAAGAGCTTCACTGATACAATCATCACTATTAATAATAATAGAGAAAACCAGATTATAGACCTGCAGTGAATTATTATTATTATTATTATTCTTCAATTATAGATGTATGCAGTCAGAGACTATGACATCTACCTGAGAACTTTAGTTCTCAGGGTTTTTTCTATGTCTGTAAAGTTAACTATTGTACATTCATCAATTTCAGATATGCAAAATCAGAAAATTCCAGCTCAGAATACCAAAACTGTTTACAAATTGCAGTGTTTTAACATCTTTTAATACTTTGAAACCATTTGACAATATCATGACAAAAGAAAAGAGAGAAAGAACACAGTCTCAAAGATAGACACATTAAATAGATAGATAGAAAGAAATTGAAAGGAAAAGATACAGAAAAAGATAAAGTAAAGAGAGACTATAACAAAATAAATTATTAAAAGAGAGTGTATAGCTGTTTTAACAGACTATATCTGATTGATTTCCTCCTCTTCATATTCAGATAATTCTGAACTTAGTCATTTTCTTGTAGCTGCTTGAGTTTCTGATAGAAAGTCTATTAAGTATTTAATTCCTGTCTCAGTTGAGAATAAGAATCTCATATTTAATTAATTTAGATCATACTTCTCTTTCAATCTGACTCTGAGACTATTGTATAATGCACAGTGCATTATAATATACTCAGGGTTCTCATTTGTATTACAGAATAAGCATTCTATTGAGTAAAATCTATCATCAAATCTTTGTATATAAGATTTGAAATAGTCATGTTCTAGTTTCAGCTGTATTATAGATGAGAATATTTTCTTTTTACATTTAATTAAACAAGATTTCCACTTGGGTTTTGTTTCAAATCTTGAATAATGTATACTCTTCTTTTGTTTCTGCCAGCTTTCATTTCACTTGTCTAAACAAGATTCTTTTATTTTTCTCTTTATAAAAGATCAGGACACAATTTTTTGAATAGATCTGCTTAATTCTGCACTCTTTTTTACAGCTGAATCAGCCAATTCATTGTCATGAATATTCATATGAGCAGGAACCCAGTGCAGATGAATTCTCAGCTTTGATGTTCTTCTCTTTTGAATTTTTAAAACAGAGTTTAAGATCAGTTCAAGATTCATTTGATCATTATGAATCTGACTATTTCTAAGTCTTTTTAAAGCAGCTTGACTATCAGAGAATATTCATGCCTCTTTCAAACAATTTCCTCTTTTATAAGATTTTATTTCAATGAGTTTGAAAGCTTTCACTATTACAAATAGTTCAGCATCAAAGACTTCACATTCAGAGCCTAGATTTCAGAAATCTGAGATAAAATTAATATTATCTTCAGTATAAGCAATGTCTGCATCTAATCTATTCAAGTTCTCATTTTTTGAGCCATCTGAATAAATCAGAATAGAGTCTTTTATATTGATTGTAGAAGTTCTCTTCAAATGCTGTTCATATTCTTTCTCTTTTGATAGTTCACTTATTTGTAAGTCTATAAGAGATTCAAGCTTTTTTCTCCAGAGAGATAACTTCTCATGATCAACTTTTTCAACATTTAAAGAAGAAAATTGATTTTTAATCAGAGAGCATAGTCTGTGCAGTTGAGAAGGCATTTTCTTTGAAGAATTATTTTCATTTCAATCAAGAAATCTATTTCAATCCAGTTCATTTCCAGAGTTAATTGATGAAAATGAAGAAGAGACTCTTTCTCTGATTATATGATTTGAGCTCATCTTTACAACTCTCAGAGCATAGTTCATACAGGCCTTTTCAAATCTAATAGCAGAAGGAGGAATTGAAGCTTCAATTTTCATTGCTTTAATAGAAGATGATTTGAATGCTTTCAGAATTCTTCTCAAGGCTCTGTTTTGCAGACTTTGAAAGAGTTCAGTGAAATTCTCTTGATTATTTCATCAAACTTGAACTTCATAATCAGCTACTGATGTAATACAGGCTATATATAACTGTCTCATAGCCTGGAAGAATAGACCTCTCTCTGTATTTGATAGTCTGATTATGTTATTCAATAGTCTTTCTGTCTTGACAGTTCTCTGTTGAATGTGATATTTAAAATTCAACTTGGAGTTTAATCATACTTCTAATCATTTGATATTTACACTGGGTTTAATCTCTCTATTTAAAAGAGTTAGAGATAGTTCTTTCTCATTGAATCTAGGAAAGAAATGAATTAACTCAGTTTTATTCATATCAAATTGAATTTGATTGATATCTGCTCTAACAAAGATTTCCTTTGCAGCTTCTTCAATTACTTTCAAATTCTCTTTGATAGTTTTTGAGCTGTAGACTAGATCAATATCATCCACATAACTTAGAGATTGCACTATTCTCATATTTCTATTTTTGAATATATATGCAGTGTATATTGCAAATAAAATGGGTGAGATTGAAGACCTCTGTGATACTCCTATTTTTATCTCAGTCTTGTCTTATTTCATTCCATCAAAGAAGAGTTGTATAATTCTTTTAGATATAAAACAGTTAACTCATTTTATTAGAGAAAGTGGCAGTTTTAATATCTTCAATATCTGAATTAACTTTGACTTTGAAACATGATCAAATGCTTCTTTTATATCAATAAAAACTGCAGTTGAGACCAGACTCTCATGCTTTGCTATTTGAATATCATGAACAACTGAGAGAACAGTGTCAATTGCAGAACACTGTTTTCTATCTCTCATTTATTCACTGAATAAAAGAGAATCATCTATAGAGCTTATAAAAGATAGTTGAGTAGCTATTATCTTTTCTAAAACCTTTCCTAGGCAGTTCAATAGAGATATTACTCTATATGACTTAGAAATTGAAGTTTTTCTATTAGGTTTTGCAAGAATCACTCCAGTGGCTTCTCTCCAGCATTCAGAATGATATTCATTTTTCAAGAGATTGAAAAAGAGCTTAAAATACTCATTCTTTAAGTAGGAATATGTATTTTGAATAATCAAGTGATTAATTGAATCAGGACCTGCAGCAGTTTTAACAGAACTTGAGAAGATAGCTGACTCTAATTCATCTTGTGTAAGATCAGGCCATTCCCAGTCATTTTCATCAATGTAGTTGAGAAGTGATATATTCTCTTTCTCTGAATCTGAATCTGAATCTGGTGAGTTCTGAAAGAGAATTCTCATAAAAGCTTGACATTTTTCCTTAAAAGAGTTTGCTGTATATGATTCATTCTGAAACTCATATTCTAGAGCTGGAAGTTTTGCTACACTTCTTGTTTTAGTATAGTTAAAAGCTTTAAAAACTTTCTTTTCTTATGCTTCTTCAAGAAATTTATTTCAGCAGTCTGTTTTAGCTCTTTTAATATCTGAAAAATATTCATTTCTGACAGCTTTGAACTCTTCATCAGATATTACATCATTCTTTCAATCTCTTCTAGCAGTAGCTAATTCTTTTCTTTTAGATGAGATATTCTCATTTCATCAAGGTTTTGAATACTCAGAAGATTTTCTTTTTAGAATATTATCTCTAACACTTGTTAGAATAATAGATGTAATAAGCTTCACTCTATTCTCAAGCATTTCATTTGAGATATCTTGATCAGAATTTCAATATAGCTCATTCTATCTTTCAGATTTTAACAGTTTTATACTTTCTTCAACTGCTTTTCAATCAGCTTTTTCAAAGTTATACTGATTAGAGAGAAGAGGATTTTCACTCATTTATTTTTCACTCAGTTTAATATCAAATTGAATAATCTCATGATCTGATTCTGATGTCTCATTTGAATTAATAAACCAGTTTACAAGTCTTCTTTCCATTAGATTTTGTGATATGAATGTTAGATCTATAATAGACTTCTGTTTCATGTCTTTTCTAAAGAATGTTTGTTGATCAGACTTATTAATCAAATCTATTGAATGCTCAAAGATTCATTCAATCAGATTATCAGCTCTCACTGCTCTCTTGCATTCTGAATTTCATCAGAGATGATGTGCATTGAAATCTTCTACAATTATAGAGTTTCTTGATGAAGTTATGTTCAGAAATCCTCTATTAATTGTCCAGATATTGTTATTTTTCTTCAATGACTTTTCATTATAGATATTTATAAGCTGTATAGTATCAAACTCATTTTCTTTATCTATAATATCACTCATCAGAATATCAGGGTCAGACATGATATCAAATCTTAGATTAAATTGATATCTTGATCTCTTTCTTCCATAGATCACTACTCTTGACTTTATCTCAGACTTTTGAGGTAAAAAGCAGTAATAGCTTGAATGAGAAATAACATATTT